GCGAGGCGTCGCGGGAGGGGGGGGGAAGGGTGTAGGCGCGCCATCGCGATTTTCGCGGGCGGCGGGCGGACGAGGACGCGGGCGGGAGGAAGAGTGCCATGTTCGGCCGACAGGCGTGACGACCGAGTCTCTCCCTTCGTGGCGTTTGGAAACGCGATCAGCGCCGGTGCGGATCCCGGCGTTGAGTTTCATCAGCCGCGGAAGGGCGCAGGCACACACAGGGGTGTTGAATGCGACCTCGGGCGCGATAGCGTTTCCGATGCCCTGACGTACGTGAGCCGTCGTGTGGTTGAGCGCCTTGAGGCAAGGGAGATAATGGGACGAGCGGTGAACAAGAACCGGCGGTCTGAACCGTGAAACGCGAGCGAACACGGAGATGACGGAGAGGCGGTTGGCTCTGTCGGAGGACGCGGATCCGGAGAAAGCTGACGCGACGTCATGGAGACGTGCGTAACACGCGTTCGCGCGTTCGTTTAGACTCGACGCTGTTGACAGAGAAGCGTGGGCGGCGATGCGAACGCGCTCTCTGGGGAAGTCGCAGTTCTTGTTCAGGTCGAGCACGGTGTCTTGCTATATAGCCTTTCAGATTCAGACGGATCATTGATGCTTTGGTACATGAGGAAGACTCGATGGTTCGCTCCGACGAGTGTACATGAGGGATATCCATATCCTGAACTGCAGGTATCAGTACTTTTGCGGTAGGTTGTACAGCGAATCGGATCACGCACCGAAGTCAGGTCAACCCGCCGACGCGGACCGCCAACTCCTGTTCAAGTCATCCCACAGATCCAACCCAACCAGGATCTCTCCATTACAGTTGACGTAGACAGCCGCCACGTCCTGGACACACTCTCGCGTCGTACAAGAACGACGCGAAGAAGACGCCCCGTCGCGTGGCGAAGGATAGAATCGAGCTTCAGGGTGGACGTGGCCAGTCTCCGCTCCAATCGTACCGCGATTGAATTTCATTCATCACTTCCAGGTTTCGTTGAACCGCGCTAGCGAGGTCGTCAAAACATTGTCAGAAGACGCCGGCGCCTTGCTAGCGCTGATCCAGCAAATCATGCATGATGACTAAGCAACATAAGCGCCCAAATCGAAACAACGAAACGGTCCGCGTCACCGGCGAGTGTGCGAACCGCTCTTATTTGTCTCCTCGCATCTCGTGCAGCACCCCTACGGGCAACAGCGATCGAACGGCATACGCGCAGGAACGACGTTCCAGGACACGATCGATCGATGTGCACCGAGTTTGTGCGGCTCGCGCGACCACAGACAAGGCCCTGAAACGTGGCGAAACGGGCATTGTTAGATGCGCCCGTTACACAGACGTTTCTACAAGCCGATGGTGCTCCCGTTAGCGACCATATATACAGGCGATACGATCCGTACGTTCCCCAGTTCAACCCGGGACCGGAGATCGCAACGCTTCTTCCGCGTTTTATCGCGCCCCATCCTTTTTTCCAAAACGACGCGTAAAACCCCGGTCCGCCGGCAAATCCAGGCTTCAGATCATCGAGTACAGCAAATACCTCCGTTTGCCTCGCGCCTGACCCGTACGACTGCGTGCAGGGCGATAACGTGTAGCGAACTGTGGTCTGCTCCTCGCTCTTCTCACTTTTGTGTCCCAATTTCCGCCCCAGTCACAGCCGGTGCGTACTACTACGTCCGTTTCTAGATTGCCTTTTACCCACGCTTGAGCAAACTAACCGGGCAGGTACAGACCTCCACCTCGTTCCCGGTGCACTCCAACAACAGTCTCGAACAGACGCTCCATAGCAACCTGTCTCACATCCCGATTCTCAAAAGGAAACAACGCGCCAACAGAGGTTATGTAACATGACGCTGCGATCGCCCCCCCCCCCCCCCCGCGTCCTTCTCTCTCTATACTAGGTTTGCGACTCGCGATGGGCCGCACATCCCCCCCCCCCCGTCTTTGTCCCTGGAGTCTTGGTGCCGCCGTTAGCCACCGGAGGAGACGTCAGGGCTAGGAGACCCCTCCGGTTCATCTGGGCGCACAGGACTGCAAGACCTTCATTACTACTCCTCCACTGTCTTTAGGATCGTCATTTGTGTCGACACTCGTTCGTGGTTGGTGCGAATACGTCAGGGTTCGTATAACGGGCATCCACCGCGAAAGAAAAAAGCAAACGCCTGGAATCTTTCATAGGATCGAAACCACCCCTCCTGCCGCCGATCTCCGTTCGTGGCCCCCGCGCCTACATGTCATTGCCATGCGCGAAGGGCCTCCGCCCCGCGCTGTCATCTCCGCCTCTCACGCGGCCTGTGGCTGAAACGGCCTGGCAAAGGGGAGGCTCGAGGACTTCGCTGTCGCAGATCCATCGAAGAGATGAACGGTGGCTCTTCGTCGCGGCCTGCTGCCGATAGAAGTCGACTCGTGAGTCATCCCTGCCTCTCCTTTGATCCTGTGGGCTGTGGCACGGTCTGATCTATGGGCGACAGGCGTTCATGAAGCTACTATACCCCTTAGTCTTCACATTAGCTGCACACTGTGGGTGCGCACGCGACCTCTAGTACCCTCTCTGGAACTCGCACATCCAACAATGGGGCCTCAGAATACTTACGGCACTGCAAAGGTCCGCTCGTGCATTGTCCAGATGCGCTGTATTCTCTCACAAGAGGCAATCTGACCAACTTTCATTTCCACTGTGGAAGACGCAGCAAGCCACCGGCTCACCCCAAGAGGCGCTGTGTGCGGTGGCTACGAAATCTAGAATCCCTCGCGCTTTCCTCAAGGCGCGACTACGAGGCCACTACCTGAAAACCAGCACAAAGAGACTCGGCGTTATTCCGCCTCCGGTATCATCCTGGCGCACCTTTGACGCAGAGCCGGGCTTCCTTTGGCTTTCATTTCCCAAACTTTTTTTGCTTTGGAAAGCCTTGCATCCAGTGGCCGGAGGGGCTTACTTTCCGACATATAAGCCTCGACGCTCTGCGCTTGATATCAGCCACTCCAACGCCCTGCGATCTCCTCAAGAACCGACTCCTCGCTCGCCCCGCCTCTCATCTCTTTCATATTTTTTTTCCCTTGCTCTCTACTCGTATATTTTCCTTCCAGCCCGTGTTTCTTCACCTGCGTCATGTCCTCTTCATACCAATCGTCCCGTAATCAGCCACTTCCCTGCTATGATCCGCCTTCTCTCGCCCAGTCCATCTACGACCAGATTCACGCACAGCCGATCTACGGCTCGCTTCACGAATCGAACAATGACCTTCACGCGCGCCTCCCGTATGTTCAAATGATATCCTCCGCGCTGCCCTCTGCTCACCGATTTGTAACTCGTCCATCGCTCAGATCCTCCTCTTTCGCTCAGCTTTCCTTGACGGATACACCTCCGCCACACGACCTCGCCCACAACGCGATGACTTTCGAGCCCGACCCTTTCTCCATCCCTCCCGCGCCTCCTCCCACCTCTGGAGCATCATCCGACGACTGGAATGAAGAACTGGAAGCCTGCTTCCAAGCTCTAATGCCAGAGTCGTTCGACGACGACGCCGCCTACATGCATCCGGTGTCCGCCGACCACCCAGCGTTCGCCGCACTGTCGTCGTTGCTCATCCCGTCGCAGCCGCCCCGCCACTCTCCGGTCGCGCCATCCGCGAACGGCTGGTATGACCTCTCCTCGGGGCAAGCGGTATCCTACAATCAGCCTGTGCCCGTCACCACACAGCCATCTATCTCTGCGCCGCCGCCGACGCGCGGACATCCTTCGACTTTGATGTCCACGGACCGCTCATCCAACGCTTTTCATGCGCAACCCGTCGCGGCTCATCCCGATTTGCGGCTCGCGCACGGCCGTCCTTCGGGTTCGCCGCCGCCGAGCAATTGGCTGAATTCGCCTTTACCCTCGAGGTACGCGTCTCACGAAAATGACATATCGCCGTCCTGACTTGCTCGTACGCCAGTTACCAGCCAATTCTCGCCCTAGACGATGAGAACATGTGGCCTCTTCCCTCTATCAGCCGTGCTTCGGCATTGGGCGCCTCGAGGCCAGCGGTAGTCTCTCAGACCCCTTGGGAGGAGTGGCTCCGTGCGGCTCCAGCAGTGCCCGGCGGTTACTCCCAAATCAACTCCGAGTCCTCTCATGGTTTTTCACCCGAGTATGGAAGCGCACATCAGTCGGCCTACCTCCCGATCAAGCAACCCCGACTCCACATTTCCAGCACAGGATCTTCCACCCGTCCGCCACCTTCGGCTCACGTTTCTTGGGAAGACGTTTACAGGCAAGCGCACGAAGCCAGCGCATGTCAGGCACATCCAGATCTGGCTCTGTCGTCGATCGCGTCAGGCACCTCCAATGCGAGTTCATCGTTACCGCCGGCGTCGTTGTACGGACAAGCACCGGCCTCAGCGCCTGCCGTTCTCAGAGACAATTTCTGGCAGATAGATCCAAACCCGACCCGAACCCCCCTTGCGCCGGGCCCCTCCCGCACCCCTTCGCTATGTTCTTCCTCTTCGTCGAACGCGTCGTACTCTTCCCCACCCACGCCCACCGGCTTCGGTCAACATCCTGCCCAGGCGGGACCGCAGATCGCGTCGTACGCGCCTCCCGATTCGATGTCGATGGCCTTCGAACAGCGCGCTCCCGCCTCTGGTCCACAGCGGACCGCGAAGAAACCCCGCCTGAAGCGGGTCGTCCCCGAAAGACTCGCCGACAGAGCCGAGCGCTCAGGACCTATTCAATGTCCGTGGCCGGACTGCCGGAAAACCTTGCACCTCGATGTGGAGTGGCACCTCACGGGCCATGCGATGAAGTACAAACAAACCCACGGCTATTGTGCCTGCCCGTCTCCTCGTCCGCGGTGCCGTCTCGGTGACGGCACAGGGAGACGCTTTGCGCACCCACGTACGCTCGCGCGCCACATGACGACCATGTCGCATTGTCAGGAGGGGAGGTACGGTTGCAAGTGCGATAGTCCCGACTGCAAGTCTACGTACACAAGGTCCGACTCTTCCCATCGCGGTGGGGTGACTCATCTCACGAAGAAGCCAAAGACGCGATCCAACGCGCGGGCCGCTGGTGGGCGCGGTCGAGCTGGCAAAGGAAAGAAGATCATGTCCTCCGAAGATATTCTATAATCGACCTACAGAGATTCCAAGCATCAGATACCCTCTCGCAATGTACCCTTTTCGTTATGGATTTCCTGTTTTTTTTCTAGTATATCTCAGCTTAAGTTAGAGATCAGTGTTTCATGTTGACCGCGGTTATTGTATTATACACCCATAATCAAGATACAGACTCCGACGTTGCTAAATCCATCTGAGACGAACGAACCATCTCGCTCAGACCCCTCGAAATCGCGCTTAGTCAGCATGGATCAACAAGCGCCCCTTTTGCCCGTCTTTCCTCACCGCATCCACCGTTGAGCTGGTTGGAAAACGCATTGCTGCCATCTCCCAAGCTGTCACTTCGAACGCTGCATCCATCATGATATTGAATCGCTCTGTCTCGTGTTGCCGAGTCGTATCAGCGGCAGCCACATCTCAACTTGCCGCCGGTCTCAAGTATAACGACCCCTTCCGCTCTCTCGTGGAATGCGACGAGAAATGACCTCTCGCAATCATATGGTCCCTTCCCCCCCATTTTGACGTGTTCCTTGTCGGCTACAAACATGCGAGTTAACTAGTTTTTGTTGTGGTTGAACATTGTTAGCTACTCAAATGCATGTTTCACTTCACTGCAGGACTCCGTATTATATATGATTATTCTTTGCAGCTGATAAGAAGCCCTCAAACATATATTTGCGCTGGACACCTTTCCTTTTGTGCACAAATATCGCTCGCTCCCATCCAACTCTGAACGGGATTTCTCACCATTGAATACCCCGCAAACTTATATCACCGTGGCTCATAGATCCCTTCTCAGCGCACGGCCTCTCGTCCACGCCCACACTGCAGTTAAATCGTCGTGCTACTGGCCCTACACGTCGTTTTTGCGATCACGACTGACTTTCGGAGGTAAGTATACAGACATCTTATACCGCATTACACTTACTGCTGCCATAAGGACGATGATACTCCGGACGATCGTCCAACTTTCTACCTCTTCCGCGTGGGTCGCAGCCAGTCAGCTCTTACGAAGCAGCATAGTCCAGCTAATGCTAGAAGAAATCCTGCGGGTGTTCACGTTGCGGTATATCAATGCAAGCCATGGTTATCAGCTTGGTTATGCACGCTGACTCTCTTCCTTTGACCAGGATACTGTTTGCCAAGCACGCTTGCCCTGATTTTCTCCGATCGTCCGTACCCGGCAGATTAGAGGATAGTCCGTTGGTCAGCGTGCACAATACGGTCGGTCTGTGCCTTTGTGTATCCCTCCTGCTTGTTGTCACGGATATCAGAGAAATCGCTTCCAACTCTTCCTAACTCCAACGCCCTTCTCATCGAGAGTCGGCCTCCCTTCGATGTGTTCATTCTTACGCATTACATTTGGCCGGAGGTATGTTCTTCCTCACCGCTCGTTGGAGCCATCTTGACGGTTGATTAGTCGACGGTCCGCAAACATGGACGCCGCAGATACCGAAGTCAGTATGGAGTGCATCTCGGTGCAACGAGGCGCAATACTCATGCGTGTTGGACAGATCTCGTGTTGGTATGCCCCCGGAGTCCTGTTGGGAAGTCATTTCTGGTTGGAATGCTACCTGTGGAGTTACCGAGGTTGTGACTTTGTGTCAGGAGATCGGGTAGGTTCTCGCTCGTCATTCATACGAGCCCTCAATAATATCAGTGTACTAACCTCCGCTTGCGGTGTAGATTATCCCGCGCACTGGAACCGCCACGTGGTATCCGAGTCCCATCAACGATGCAACGTGACTGTAGTTCAGCGATGCTTTCTCCCGGCGCACTGGAGGCCGGAACACTTTTTGCTCAGTTTTGCTCTGGTAGAGTACGGAACCGACGGGCTCTCGTACTACCACAGGGTACGTCTGACTGCGAGACCGATTTTCGTGATATTTATACGAACACTCCTTCAGATCCTTTCCGTGACGTTCGCCAGCACATCAAGGTTGAGCGTGACACGGAGAAGACCGGCATCATCGTCTGCCGAGCAACGAATGCTCTGTGGGTCCAACGTCCTCGCTTGCTCTGTATCACCGATGATCGTCGTCGGTGGATCGTCGCCCGTGGTCGTCTATGGGCCAACGTCGCTCTTCGTACTCTGTTGCGCGCCAAACACCTCCAGGATGACCAGCTCTTGGCGAAGACAGCCTGGTGAGGCGCGTCACGCGCCCTTTGCCGGAGTATAAAATGACGCCTCGAGGTGTGTCTTTGTCTACCTCCTGTTTGCCTACGACTTTCCCCTTCTCAAAGCTACTCTCGTGTTTAAATAATTCATTCACGACCTCTGCTCATTTTCACGATCACGAACATATTCCAATATCTATAACGCCGATCAAGCGTTGCTTTCCAATCGGCACGTCTCATAAGCTCTTTGTGATCATGCCCTCCTCCGAGTACGCTTGCACCATCTTATCTACGATTCATTATCTTTCATAGCACTCGCTGATCAACGCTCTAGGAATGATGATCCGGATAAAGAACAACGGCCGCCATGGATGACCGGCGGGAGATCCGCTCCCTGTGACCCGGGGCCGAAGAGAACTCGGCAGTATGACATAGCTCCCGTACAGCTGAGGTGCGACTACAACGAGCCACGACATCGTGTGTTCTGTCTGTTGACAAAGCTTCTATACTCGTAGCCCACCCCCCAAACGGCAACGCTTGTATGTCCGTACGCCGAGTCCGGGTCCCGAGATGGTGGATGACCGTGGCGCATCTAGGTACGTCCTCCTTCATACTATATACGCGAGCGCCATCTAATCGCATACACCCGCAGACGTTCGTCATCACAGCCATCCCCCAGCCGACGTCCCTTGCAGGAGCTCAGTCTCAGCAATCAAGTTTACGGAGTCGCTGACGCTCATTCTGGCTTGGACCGCCGTTCTTCTCCTGGTCCTTCTTCTCGCGTCGATGTAGAGCAAGATTCCGTACCTTCCTCGGCTCTGCTCCCTTCAATAAACGCCTTGTATCCTCGAACGACATGGGAGCGCGATGTCCAAAACATCCCGTCTGCCCAGGCGAGGCAGCGCAGCCCCTTCCTGCATCCCGTTCAACGTTCGCAGGATGATCCCCTCTTTCTGGCAATGGGACTCGGGGCGGTATTGTATTGCGGTGGATCTCAGCCTGTCTCCGGATTCGCGAACGTCGCTCTTCGTGATGAACGAGGAACAACGCCCACTGGGACCCGTACATCCTTGTCATCAACGAATCAATCCGCTGTGTCAGGACCAACGGCCCCTCTTCCGACCCCTCCCCGTCGTCACGGCTCTCAACCTCCGCCTGGAGTCGCGACCCGGGCTTCCGCTTCTCATGACGGTCAAGGAACAGAGGCCGCTGGTACCGCTCTTCATGACGGTCGAGGAACAAAGGTCGCTAGTACCGCTCTTCATGAAGGTCAAGGGACAAAGGCCGCTGGTACCAGTACACACCCCGAATCCTGGTCATCGGCATGGTTATCGGCAAGTAGATCTGCTTTGTTAGGATCATCGATCCTTCCTCCAGCGACTCCTCGTCGCGGTGCATCTCGGCCTCTGCATGAATGCGCGACCAGGGCATGTGCTCTTCGTGACGGTCAAGGAACAACGCCCGCCTGTGCAGGTACTAGCACATGCTCTACATCGTGCACATCGGCAAGTCAATCTGCCGAAGCAGGGCCGTCGACTCTTCCTCCATCCACTCCTCGTCGTCGCAAACCAAGCAAAATGTTTCGTCGCAGACGAGGCAAACGGCTCCGTCGCAGAAAGCCCGTCGAGATAACAAGTCGAATCACCCCGTCCACAGCTCCTTCCCTGATCGCTTTCTGGCTCCGCAAAGGCCCCTTGCACTCGCTGCCCCTGCCCCTTGTGCCAGAATCCAATCCCGAGTCCGAATACGAATATGAAGACGACTCGGAAGAGGAGGAGCTTCAACGTTCGAACTTATCGACGGCCGAACCAATTTTCGGGAGTGGGTCTCGCTCTCCACGGCCGATCGGTGTGGACAATGACAAAGGCACCAACAAGAAGTCTCGTAAGGGCAAAGAGCGAGCCATATCGGAAGACGAAGAGGACTACGAGCACGATTACTCAGAAGAAGGCGACGACGGCGACGACAGCGACGAGGACGATTTGTATGCCGACATGGAAGGCTGAGGTTCCAACACGGAAGAGAGATTCAACCAGTCCAAGTCAGGCCATAATTGCCAATCGGTCAAAATGGTGATGGTCACGCCGACGTCAATGCGCCTCGCACGGGCACCAGCAGAGCGGCTGGCGTTCGATCAAACCGTTCATTCAGCCACTAACTATCTATCTCCCGATTCTCTTTCCTCCTCCACAGTCATTTCCCGATGCTTACGATACATACTCTTATAATCGCCAAGTAGGTAGCGCAGAGAGCAAAGTAGACAGGTAGATAGATATGACTAAGCAATACACATGATGTTCAATGTACATTCTTGTGCCAACCAAGATGACGCTCCTACGAAGACTGGAGGTAGGCGTAAGGTTTAGGTCTGCAAACCTCCATCTTCCTAATCCTTGGGTGGAACCGGCCAGGAACGCCGTTCCGTTGACGAGGGCAGACGCCGGGAATAGGAAGATCGTTGTCACGGAGCAGTCGGACGATGCCGAACAATAGTTCGGCGAGAAGTTCGTAGCGTTGCAACTAGAGATGGCGAGATAGCAAGTCGATCCAGGATGGTATACATCCGCTCCCCTTTGCTGTCCTCAACAAAGGGGGTCTGCGGCTTCGAGTATGGGCGTCCACCTAGTATTGCTCGTGGTAGTTCTCGAGGACCAGGGGGAGGGGGGAAAGATGGTGACGGAGGGTCGTGCTGCGTGGTGTTTCCCGAGTTGAGCGTTGTCAGGCAGTCCAGCGCGCAAGTTATTTGGACCAGTGTCCAAGGACGGCCAAGGACGCGTGACTTCTCCCTTCTTCCATACATCATTCAGGGCCCATTTGGATGTAGGGCTGGAGGTGGTAAGAGTGAGCGACGTGAGCGACACGTGTGGGTGTAGGATGTGGGACACACCTGGATCGAAAGGAGCAAGTAGCGGATGCACCGTAATAATCGTTGCTCACGAGCTGGTTAACCGCCTTTGAAACACGAATATCATCATGACCCGTCTGACCTCTCTCGAAAAACTCTTGAGAATTACGCATACTCTGGAGGTTGGACACGCCCAGATTGCGAGCACTGCGCACGAGTCGCCAAGGTTTGCCTGTACAAGGTAATCATCGTCAACCACAAAAGCCCCGTAATGTAGCCTCCATACGTACTAAGAAGTAGGGGAAAAAAACCGGTGGAAGCGAGAGGTTGTTTATGCTCGTTCTCGTCCAATGTGCCAGCGATGTGCATCAACACTGGCATGAACCATCCTTGAGAGCTATAGAAAGCAAGAGAGAATATGTCGGTAGTCCCCAGGAGAGTTCATTGGCTTTCTTAGCAAAGAGAGCATTTGGCTCGTCGTTGTGCCCTGGTCGTCCGACGTCGGCGTGTAGATCGCTCTTGATGGAAAGCGCGGAAGTTGCCATGCTTAGTCATCCGCGGTGTCCCCTTCGAGCGTCGAGCCGGCGGCTGTAGTAAGCTTTCCTTTGTGCCATCGCTAACCCTAGATCGAACCTGTCCTCATGGCTAGCCTCTTCGCCTATAATGTAATCTGTGGACCGTCTTAAACATTACCAGAAGATAGGACATATCCCAGGAACTCACTTCCGCGCCGGCGCTTATTGTATCGCCATCATCATGTGCTGCCAGCTCTCAACTCACTGCAAGGATCTGGTCAATCTCCCTAAGTATCGGCCCCAGTGGCCTTGACATGGGTTAAGATCTCATCTAGATCATTCAATGCAATGCGTAGTGTAAAACCACAGCGTGATCGCTGCGTCGCCTCAGACAATGCGATGTTTCGTGCTTTGTGGAGCTCGCCTTGACTACGCTTCAAGCGTGGTAGTGATATGTTTGAGAAATAGCTCACACGGCGAGTGGAACTCCGTAGTATCTGCAGACGTGAATCCTAACTAAATCTAATAGCTCGGCTCCGGATCTGTCGAATCCATGCTCCTCCGACCTGCACCATGCCAGTAGTCCAAACCTGCGCACCTCCGATAATGGCCAGGCTTTATGGAGCCAGGCAGGACCATATATGATCACCCGGGTGCGGCTCTTGTGCAAGGCCCCGATCGGTCTCGTGCAACGCGGCCAGGGTTGCGCACGCCCCGTCCGCCAAATTACAACCCTGCTGCTGTGGCCACTGCTCCCATAGACGCGCTTCTTTGGAATCCTTTGTCGTCAATCATTTGCGTTGTACCGTCTAGCCTTGCACGCTCGTCGCCATGCGATTATTTAAGCCGTTTCGCATCGCGCTACGGCTTATCCCAAAGCAACTCCCATCCATCTGACAATCCGCATCTCATCGTATCTCCTTGAACATCAACATGCATTCGACTCAAGAGTGTGACTGGGAAGCCGTCATCCAATCGATCCTGTCTTCGTAAGCGACCTCATTTTCGTGCAGGTCCACAGCAGCTCACCTCCTTCGTTCAGATCGACAAATCCCGGACTCGATGATGAGCCCAAGGGCCAAGGCGTGTTTACCACCTTTGAACATATACCGAGCGACTCGACAGCCCCAGGTCGCACTCCAACCTTCGATGCTGGACTCGAATATACACCCGATCAGTTCTCCTTGCCACCATCGCCTCAATCACACATGGCGGTTGCTCCGAGCTCATGGGAGGGATCGATGTCGCGACCGGTTTTTTCTACAGCCAGCCAGCCGTCCATGCTTCATCCTACTGCCTTCGTAAATCGCGCAGCCTCGGTGCCTAATATGTCTCCTCAACTTCAGACTCCTGCGTTCGGCTCTCGTACAGTGTCTATGCCGTCGGTGCCTTCCACTGCGCGCTTCTATCCACAGGAGGCCGAGGCGTCTTATCCGTGCCAGGCTGTTCCCATACCACAGGTTCCTTCTGCCCATAATGCGCCACCCCGCGGTCAAGTATACAACAGTGCGACATCAAGGCCTCAACATCTGCCGTTTGCGTCCCTTCCGCATACTCAGCAGTCCGGCATGCCCTTCACCGGATACGTCTCTACCTCGGGGACGCAAAACGAGACTTTCACCGACATGACTAATCAGCCACCCTTGTACGTGCCAGGAGTGTTTTCTCGAATGTGACTGGCTTGCTCACTTACTGTCAGTGCTAGCTCTAATCGAGCTCATGGCGCGCACCCGATGATGATGAGAGACTTTCTCGCTCAAGGCTATGCTAACCTGTACGTCACCCGTCCGCGATTCCCCAAAAATACACTGACAGGTATTTTTCTATTGCGCAGGCCTCCTCCCGAAGCGGCTTATCCCGGTTTTGATTCGCATATTCCAACTCAGGCGCCGACGTTCTTTCCAGGCGAGCAAGTCTCTACCGGTTCTCGTCTCCCTGCCCACTGGAACCGCCAGTATAGCGGCGCTCCTGATGCGCATCACCGCTACATCGCACCGTCGATGGCTCATCCTTTCTACGACCCTGCCCGCAATGCCGCCATAAGCCACCGGCAGAATCATCGTCAACCTCCATTTACCGCGAGTTACTCTCAGCAAGCGTCGGCATCATCTCAACAATTCTTTGTGACCGGAGGCACCGCAACAACTTCAACTTTCCCCCCTTTCGTGAACGAAATCGGACCCCGTCATGCGCAGGCCGCTTTAGACTTGCAACAGCCTCGTCAACCGGCTCTACCCCCTGCTTTGGCAGCTCCCGACCAACCACACGCCCTCGCGGACGCAGCGTCCGACATTGCGAACTTTAACTCGTCATCTGAATCACTTGCGGGACCGTCGCGTACTTCTCGTCATCCTAGACGCACTACAAAGCCCCGGCAGTCGGAGACCGCCCGTCCCCGGCGCAACGTTGCGAAAGCTCCGGTACGCCGCCGCGGGAGCAAGCCTTACGATACCGTCGAATCGGGCGGCAGAACTACTTGCCGCTGGCCGCGCTGCGAGAACAACGAGGTGCCGACAAAGCACCTCATTTCCCATCTGAGCGACCACATCTCGGAACGAAACCTGGCCGAAGGGAGACGCAGCTTTCACTGCCCATTTTGCGATCACACATCGGGGACGCGCAAGGAGCTCTTAAGGCACCTCGTCTCGGAGAAACATGGCATGTGTGTCAAGTTCATGTGTGAATGCGGCAGGTCTTTTTCGCGCGCCGATGCGCGGACTCGCCATCGCAAATCGAAGACGCACAAGGAGATTATGGCGGAACTGGACCCCACTTACGAGTGCGACACCCAGGACGAAGCTGACGATGACGAGTTTCCCTGATGATACCGGCTATTTCCCTACCTTTTTGTGTTCGTGTCCTTGACCCGTTGCTTTACCATACATTTAATTCGGTTTCATTTGTACCACATAGCCGTACAAACATCCTTTCTAAGTATCTTCTTCAACATTTAGCGCTTCTAGTTTGCGTTTCGTCATATCTTTGACATGTTATCCCATGATACCGTGTTACTCCCTCGCGTGATCTTGTGAACAACGATCCTACATTTACTTCTACAATCCAACTATATCACTCAGTCCGGAGTGAAAAGCGTGCCGCTGGGTAGAAATAAGTGCAGGATACAACTGTTACTCTGATTCGGGGCGATTCTCCTCTGGATTTCACTGTGGCTAAGCATACGTAACCAGGACTCTTTCGACTCTTTCCGTACTCGTAGCCTTACCGGCGTCTATTGCGGAAATGTTGCCTGAGAATTTGTCCGACGAAGCGTTTTATATATTTTGTATTATAGTTGTACAGATTCCGGCGTGTAAATTACTATGATAACGTATGAATGGTGAGACAAAAGGCATAATCCGGTACAACAAATCCACTGAGATCCACACCGCAAAAAAACTACGAGAGCGCATACGACGCCGGGGGTAAGGTATATGATTCCGAAATGCAGGGTGGGGGAAAATAAACAAACCGTAGACCACGCAACAACATTTGCATGCGAGGGGTAGGCTGCTTGCGCAGGTAGTACGCGAGTATCAGAAAGTCTTCTCATTAGAGGGAGAGAGTAGAGGAAAGGAGGACTGGTTTGACGACTTGTTGGATGCTGGTGGAAGACGTCGATCTGTCTCTTCACAATCGGCAGGCGTCAGGGAGTTGTAAACCTCCGTTACCTCGGGGTGGGCGGCGTCATTATCTCGCCACGCCTTGATATTGTTGATGATTTGCGTGGCTAAGTGACGCCGGGCTGCGTCCAAGCGCGACGCGATGTGTCCGCAGTCTGGCATCGAACATTGGGTGTTGTCCAGGTGTGTGTGAGACGCGATGACATGTCGCGTGATTGCGCGAGATTCCAGAGGTCTATCGAGATTGCAGCGACCTAGGGCATGAAACGGGCACCCGAAAATCTTCTCGTTCTTCGACTTGCCTTTTGGGTAGTGAACCTTCTCCATATGAGCCTGCATTTGGCAGTATGTCAACTGCGTGCGCTGCGAATCGGTGCAGCCTCCGACGGGACAGTCTTGACGCAATGGAAGGCGCTGAAGGAGCGTAACGTATCGGTCGAAGAGGGCTCCATGGAGCGGCGTGTAGGGGGCTGCGTTTTTGAAAAGCGTTTTTTTCGGATCCTTCTTGCTCGGTTTTTTGGGCTGGGTAAGAGTAATTTCGTAGCTCTGGTGATATTGCTCGTGAGCTGAGGAAGCCATTGATCCGTATACGCCGGGAGCAACAAAACCAATCGCAGAAGAGTCGCGTTGAGAAGGCGTGCAGGGTTCGCCCATGTCATGTGCAGGGTGTGCCTGCCACAGCGGCGCGGCTTCCGGGGAGCTCGTTGCGGCGGGAACAGTGGCCGGGAGCGGGTACTGGGATGAGATATCCCGCAGGGTTTCATCTTGAATAGGACCATGAAGCATGGGCATCTCCCCCGGTGAAGGAAAAGCGTTCGAGGAGCATCCAGATGCAAGGGAAAACGAAGTCTCAGGACTCGACTCGGTCCGTCCGTCATCTGATACAAGATCCGGAGGCGAAAGTGGGGGCATGGGAATATTCGAACTAGATGAAGCAGCGGACATTGCAGCAGCCAACAACGTGGTGGGAGCCTGAACCGTAGGTATGTTGCCGGGGGCCTGCTGGGGAAGGACGGGTTGTAGTATGGCACTGTCGTTGGGTACGTATGTCGATATTTGGGCCATTAAGTCCTGTGCGGATAGCGAGGCTTGAACCGACTCGTCCGAGGCAGAGAATATTGAAGAGGCGAGGTTCATCAATTGCTCGTCGAAAATCCAATCCGTATTCCGGTTGAAGTCAAAAGCGGGGTAGCTCGCGCCTGAGATAATATGTAATAAGTTAAACCACGGTCGAACGATGGGCTCGATGACTTGCCGGTATCAGGCGCTGCTGAATGATCGGCAGGAAAGGTTGAAAGGGGTAAAGAACAAGGCTGCTGGTCTTGATTGTTCTCCATCGCGGAAAGGGAAACGGGTGCATTCTCGTAGTAGGGTTGCCACTCACGTTCCGCGAGGGCGAGTGATGGAGCTGGGGATGTAACGATACCATAGTCACCGGTCGCGTCCGTGGCGTGTCTGACGAAACGATTAAATTTGATTCACCGGAAGAGATCTCTCACGCGCACCCGATCGGATCAGACCGCCGTTCGGAAACCTGGTCAGGAGCACCGTAAGTTTGAACAGAACTATAAGCCGGCTGCGAGGTTGCCGGAACGACCGGGACGTTCTCTAATCCATCTGGAAATCCGGTCCGTGAGGCCTGCGAGGCTGGAGGCGCGCTGGGGTAGCCACTTGAACCGACGGTATAGCTAGCACGGAGGTTAGTAACATGTGAGATTCAACTGCACCGTGATGCGCACTAGTGGGAGCTATGGTGATATCCTGTCGTCGCATTCGATATGTACCCGCCGTTCTGTGGACCACCGGCATGAAAAGGATGAGAGACGTTCGACGATGGAGCGGAAAGAACAGATTTGGGGTATGCCGTCGAGAACGAGACTTCACTACCAGTAGGAAGATATGCTGGCGTATGATATCGTGTTGGATGAGGGGAAGCCAGTGAGGCAAGCCGTGTTTTGGTCGACGCCTGCCCCAGGCTGTCCATCTGCGTTAGTAGAGGCGTACAAGAGGTATATCAAAGCTTAGTACTCACGAAAGAGACTTCGACGTGTTGCTGAAAGAGTGCGAGCGGAGCGCTGGCATGGCTTTTTTGCTTTGAATTAAGTGCTAGGAGATGACGATCGAAATGGAAGGTTTGATTAAGGGTCGATGCACGAAAGCAGTGTAGTTTTGATATCACCGCGAATGTGTGAGTGGAGTCGAGAGCGATGCTTCCCGGAGGAGAAGACGTCCGAGGAATCGGGGGAGCAGTCCGAGTTTATAACCAGCTTCGTGCCTGCAGACGCAACCACCTATGAGAGACAGGCGAAGGAAGGGGCGCTACTCACCTTCGGAGGAGGCCACAGGTGTAGATTGCTGGTCTGCGATATCCGGTTAATTTGTGCCCCATGAAGTGGCCTATACGACTACATTTCACCTTCGACAACTCTGCCTCGTGGGGGCAGAGAGATTTAGCCCTGAGAGCTGCCTCGATTTGGGGCTCTATAATTTGAAGTTACCCATTGGATATGTGAAACTGGTCTCTTCCTGACCATCTAAAGAGTATGCACAGGAGTTTCTGGGCGTCTCCTGTAAGAGGGCAGAGAGCAGAGACTTGCTGAATAATACACAATCGGAATCACCTTCAAAACAGTAAGGCACACATTCGAAATACGTGATGGTTGTTCGTTCATCGCGTCGTCTTGTCGAGTTTCGTAGACCATGAACATGGCCCCGTCTCCTTACCTCATCTGCATCATTAACTTCTCCTGGAGCACAAGTTGTAACTCGTTCCGACTGCGCATCAAGCTAGCCAAAGAATGGGACCCTCAGATTCCACAGTAGAATCCATAGTATCATACGCCCATCAGGGGTCATAGCGTCTACGTAACGAATCCGTCAGTGAGTATTTGTATCCTCCGTCTACATGGCGTGAACACCCACTGTGCATCGATGTGGTAGAAACTCGGCAAGGTCACTTGGGCACCCCGTTCTGCCATATTCTCAGCGTGTTGGTTATGCCCGACTTTTCCCTACCATACAATGTTGCAAGAACGCCAATGAGGCGGTTGCGGCGGCGAGAGCCCGTGACGTGGACAGGATAAGCGCTGCCCCTATTCCACCTTCTATATATGGCTGCGCCATCTGAAGCTTCTTCAATACGCCCTTCTTCAACGCGATGAACCCATACTGACTCTGTCATGTTTTTGCTGCGTCTGTATAAGCTAAAAGATTTCTTATTACGCGCACCAATTATTTGAGCTATCCCGTGCAACGATAAACACCTTCTATAATAAGAGCGTGCGATGCAGTTATTGATATCTCAGCCCTTGGTTAGTCGTTTGAACGGAAAATTATACAGGCGCATAGTTTTTGAGGGCGACGAGGTATGCGCAAAGAGTCTGTGGACCCACCTAGGTCCCACAGTCGCGTGCTCGGTTAACCGATTCGATCGAATTGGCTCAGACCGCCTCGTGCTTCGTTGGCTCAGACCAATGTAGGACACGAGATGGAGATTGAATCAGAAATAATTGACGCCACAGCCTGATGGACTTGCCCCAATAATAGTCACCGTCAGCTGGGCTTCTATCTGTATCTCCGCCGGTCACCGATTGGTGGCTCGGTCCGGTGGGCAGGAATAGTTGCCGTGCCTCTGCAAGTGCAATCCAAAATTTCCTTCGTGAAAGGTGGCTCGACTCGTTTTCCATCGTACTGGAACAAACAGAGCATTCTGGATAGTTCTCCGTTTCTTCAGGGTTCGAGAATCTTTGATGGCGGCAGTGGCTTTGAACATGTCGTCTATCGGTAAGCTTCGGCCTTTCCGTGACACTGTGCCCACAGAACGATGGGCGGTCGAATATACCTGCGCATAGAGAAGATCGTTGCAGGTTTTATACAGCTGGTCAGCCAGGCCTGTATCAAGTATACGAGAGTGTATTGTTCATTAACCCCCAGCGGTCTGCTCATCACTATGCAAAGTGCAGCCGAACGGAGGGTCAGTTCGATCGACTTTGCAATATTACCACAAATTTCAAGTAGACGTTCAGTGTACTGTCGAGTGCACTATAATATGCGGGTGTATCTCCTCGCGTCGGCCTTGATGATTTCTCACGTCATTCTGACACAAAGACGTACCAACACATCGTCCGACAGTTGCGTTTTCGAGCTTGCTACCAGAATCGATTGAGTTCGCAGCCTGATCTCAGCCCCTCTCGAAGTTCCAATCCCTTCGGAATCATGCGCTTGAACGTGACTCGGTCTTGTCATGCCCAGCTTCCACAACGCGTTGGAACTCCACCTGTGAATTCATTTCGTCCGTCTTCCGCGCCATACCAGATCCGTCAATTCTTACAAGATGTTTGTGTCACACTACCGCCGAAGTACTAGGAGAAGTCTGAGATGGTAATCGTTGACAAGTTCGAGATGCGTGCTTGGACGGTACTGTTGGAACGCGCTAGAAACGAAGAAACAATGTAAGCCATGGCCTCCTTGTGGAGATCCGGATCCGGAAAGCTAAGCGAAAGTGCAACTAACACTGGCTCCCCACCTGGGACGAATGATAATTTGCTGTATAAGGCATATGTACTGTTAATACTGAGACTCATCGCAGTCGGAGTAGTTCATAGGTTCCCCCATCATAGTCCCAGTTTTCGTCTCCGCATACGCATAAGTAGTCCAGCGAAGATTGGATGCTCTCCATCGAGCGGACACGACGCAGTCGACGCAATGGTTTCCAGCAACCAGAGAACATAAAGCTCAGATTTAGCCCAGAGATCAAGGGTGCTCATTAAATGCCGAAATTCTGGAGGCGGAGATGCCGCGGCAATTGTAAGGAGCATGTCGCAACCCTGCTGAGTATATCACAGCCGCGAATACGCAGCAAGCACGGGAGAGCCTAAGAGTACTTCAGCACTGAACCGTGAAGAAGAATGTGCATGGTTCGGGAGATACGCGGTTTGGAGAGCAGTCAGTTTCACATGCTTTGAAGCTTCCCTTGTCCGCACGAGATGAACGTCCAACCCGGAGATGAGTAGTCACCAGAACACTATATTAGGCAAGCGACGTGGTGTTTGTCTGATCGTTACTAGAAGAGCGGAGGGAAGGTAGTTCTCTGCAGTGTGCTCGACGGCTACTGCATATGACTTGTAGCGGGAATGGTATTAATGAGCAAAGCAGTCATTTGGCATAGGCGAGTCTCAGGTCAAATGATCGTGAATCTCCATTTCGCGTCAAGAATGCATCGCTGATAGGTCAGGATAGTAGGTCTGATGATAATGAAGTGACAAGCTGGATAGGTTTCACCAACCGCAAGGGTGCAAGAGCAAAGACGAACAATGTTGAGCGGCGACGACAACGAAAGCTTTCGGGTCAACGGGCCCGGCACCGGCCGCAGCCAATCCGGCGCCTTGGTGGCACAGCCACTCCGCTCGAGTTTGTCTTCGTCCGTGAGCGAAAGTGGCCAAGTCGCGATCTCTTGCCTAACGAAATCACACATCTCTACGGTTTACTCGGTCACCGATGACTTGCAGTGGCAACCACAGCCATATACACCGGCCTCGGCTTTTAATAACGCTCAATGCATATGAAACTTCTGGTCAGAGTCACCCCCGCGAATCGGGTACTGCTTCCCGCCGAGCTAGCGACTATACATATGTTCATGCCCATCATTCTGCCCGCCTATAAGTAACATACCGAACTCAGAGCCCAAATTTTGCCTCGTCTCGCTCCCTGTGTCTCTCCACACGCAATCTGCAGGACGATGCTTGTTCTGGGAAACACATACACCACCTTCGGTGCTGTTGTGCTGGCGGCATGGCTATGGACGCGTCATCGAAGGTCGAAAAGGGTTTCTCTACCTCCGGGTCCTGAAGGGCTCCCCATTCGTACGTCGAACACTTCGTGACAATATCAACCATCTCGCTCATACGCGCGCCATGTCATCAGTCGGCAATATCAGAGAGCTCGCTAGCTCTCGTCACATTTGGGAACGCGCGACAGAATGGGCTAAAATCTATGGTCTCTTCGATTTCTCCTGTCTTCTGATTCCTCCTCATGTCATCTTGATTCTCGTAGGCCCAGTCGTGTGCCTACACGTTTTCGGCCTCTCCCTGGTATTCTTGAACACGGCTGAAGCTGCGTTTGACCTTCTCGAGAAGCGCGGCTCCATCTACTCTGACCGACCGCACATGACGATGTCGGGTGAACTGCGAGTACTCTGTTGTAAACCTCACGTTTCCCACAAGCGCCTAATCTCATGTTTCACTTCTTCCTCTTCATGTTTCCTTTTGGGGCCAAATACAGATGCGGGTGCGAGCGCATGGTGGCATTCACGCGCTACGGCGATGCCTCGCGCCGTCAACGGCGTCTCCTGCAAAAAGCCCTATCAGGAGCCGCGGTGAAAGCGTACCATCCACTCATCGAGGCGAACACGCGCGACTTTCTTCAGCGTATCGTGCGCGATCCAGATGACTACGCCCGGCACATTCGATGGTAGGTCCCCGCTACCGCGTATCGGGAGCCGAACACTGATCCACGATAACCCTAGGTATGCGGGTGGACTGACGCTCAACGTTGTCTATGGACATCGTGTCTCGACTACATTTGAGGATCCATATCTGGCCCAGGCGGAGTCGTGTGTGGATCTTCTCTCCAACCGGATCGCCTCTCCGGACGCGGTTTGGATTGTCGATGTTTTCCCCTTCCTCAAGCATCTGCCGGCGTGGCTTCCAGGCATGCACTTCAAACGCCAGGCCCAAACATGGAAGCGGGTCATGCAAGACTGGGTCGATAAGCCGTATGATGCCATGAAGGCTAAACTGGTACGTCCTTTACCTCCTATGTGAGACGATCTACAGCAGCGGAACTGATGGATCACACATGATGATAGGGCAGCGGCGTCGCCCCTCCATCGTTTTGCTCTACCCTGTTGGCCAGCGGCTTAGATCTCTCGGAGAAAGACGAAGACGACATCCGTTGGACGGCCAACTCGATCTATGCCGCCTCCATCGACACCACTGTCACGCTAGCGCTCCATTTCGTCCGACTGATGGCGATTCACCCCCGCATCCTTCGCAAAGTCCAGAAAGAGCTCGATTCCGTCTTACGCTCTACCGATCCGGTCACAAGAGAGAGAACCGTAAGATTACCGATGTTCGCCGATCGCCCACGACTTCCATACCTCGAACACGTTCTCTCCGAGACGCTGCGGTACGCGGCGCCGGTCCCAGCAGGGTTGCCGCATCGACTCCAGGCGGACGACATTTACGCCGTATCCGAGAACGGGGATCAAGCGAAGGAGTACTTGATCCCCAAAGGATCATTCGTGTTCGCGAACATCTGGGCAATTTTACGCGACGAGCGGGTCTACCCTAATCCTGACGAATTCTTTCCGGAGAGGTATGAGGTCAGCAACGTGGATCCACAGGACCCGAATGTTGCAGACGACGAGGAAAACCTCGAGCGGGAAAGGCGTAGGCGCGATCCTAGGAACTATGTGTTTGGTTTTGTGAGTGTCTTTATAAACAGGTGCTAAGTGCGAGTAAATTGATGTTTCGCATCTGCATAGGGTCGGCGGCGCTGCCCCGGTACACACCTCGTCGAGTCCTCAGCTTGGCTGTTGATTGCCACCATGTGTGCCGCTCTCGACATCGAACCGGCCCGTGATACCGACGGGAAGGAGATGCCACCGGAACTTGTCGTCGAGAACGGCGTGTTCAGGTCGGTGATAACCAGTCTAAAGTTGGGTTCGAGCTAACCCCGCCATATCGTCAGGACCCCAAACGTCTTTCCGGTGTCGATCAAGCTTCGCGCTGCGGCTCCGAACTTTTGAATGAAGCCTTATAGTCTCCAGGAAGCAATGCCAACTTGTTCATTGCATTTCGGCCAGTAATAGCTACATCCCTGCATGGCCATCATATCATTGTAGTACTACATTTTCCTCCGAACATTCATTCCCAATACGTTCTTTGGCTGTACGAATAAGTCGCAGCCATTCTATCTCAAACATTTTATCACAATCCTCAGGCATTCGTATCCTCGTTCGTCTGAGGCTCCGAGTGCGTGTACTTCCCTGTACCCGGCGCAAACATATCCTACATGCTATCCTCAGCGTCGGTTCTTCGCATATCGACGCAACGACGCACCTTGATCATCCCCTGCGTAATCTGCCGCAGGGCCGCCCGGCTCTCCCAAAGAGGGTATAGCACAACAGAAAAGGCGGACATGAACGTCCATATGATGCCGATCACGGTCCACGCCGTGAACCCACGCACGCCGAATATCGTCTGCGCGCCGAAGAGCGGGAACGGGACGAGGATGAGCAGGACCAGAGTCTAAATCAACGCCAGTTTTTCAGCGCGCTGTCGAGTGAAAAGGGGGGAGATAGGGAGAGGGGGGGGGAGGCTAATGAAACGCACGAGAGCGGCGGACGACCACGCGGCGAAGCGGAACGCCTTCTTGAGCGCGCGCGGGTCGAGCTCGTTCTCTTCCTCCTCGGAGACGGCGTGCACGTTCACGGCTTCCGGGTGCTTCTCCCTCGCGTTCTTCTCCTCGTAGTCCTCTTCTTCGTCCGCAGAGGACCGCTCGGTCACGCTCGGCTTCGGCTCGCGTACGGGCGCGTTGATAGCGCGCGTGCCCTCAAAATCGTAGTTCTCCGGCCACTGTCGATCGGGTTTTGGGGTGTCGCATGATCAGGGAATAGCAACGACGACGCGAGATGGAGAGGGGAGAGCTTACGATGAGCGAGACGGTGACGGCCACGATACCGCCCACGCAGATAGAGGCGAGGTTGCCTGCGAGCATCTCGAAGTCGCCTGTGAATGCTGGTCAGCCGGATACAGCATCGTAAGCACCGGCTTCATGTACCTCCGCTAGTCTATGGAGCGGCACTCAGCGTCTATTTATAAGATAGGAAGTAAATCCAGCTCACCGTCACGTTAATCTCGCCCCCGTTAAGGGCGCTGGTAGTCACGAGCCAGGCGGTGACACCGGAACAGAAACCGATGAGGGCGCCGCTGATGCAGCCCCACTTGTTTGCTTTGGACCAGGTGATGCAGAGGGCGATAGGTACAACCGCGGATCCGAGTATGACACCCATGAACGTCTACGAAAGACGCGAATCAGCCATCGTTTTGCTGAACATTCCAGATGAGGACGCACGTAAAGCCACCCCATGGAGATCCCTTTGAGAGCCAGTCAACGGAGGGCGACTAGATCCCGCGAGATATTGCTTACCAATGTAGAAGAATATCAGGCCGCAGAATCCGATCACCACCGCGAAGAAAGCGACCTGTCCGGGAATATCAAGACCTGAACTCGAAGACGGCATACGGCCTGCACACCATCGCGTGTCCCATGGTGAGAATCTGCGCTTCGGTCGCGTTGGGGTTGATGTAGCGCTTGTACACGTCATACGTGAGGATCGACGAGACGGCGATGAGCTCTGCCGACGTCGCGGACGTGACGGCGAGATACTGCGCGCGAGTCGATCAGGATCGGGTCGGGAAAGGAGAACGCGCGCGCGCTCTCCGCACGTCGAGATTGGACTTACGAGAAGGACGAGGAGGATACCGGCGCCGGCTTTGTTGAGGAGCGCGCCCGCGGCGGCGGACGCCGGAAGGCCGGCGGAGACGTCCGCAGCGGACAACGTCGGCATCGCGGGATCGCCTCTCAACGCCACCGCCGCCAAGCCCAACGTCGTCGCGAACGTGAAGGGGATCGCGAACCTGACGAATCGATATATATATAAGACACGGATCGGGTCCACGGCAAAACAAAGTCCGGGGACAAACGCACCAAGCCAATCCGCCGAGCAGATACGCCTTGACCGTGCTCGCGGGCCTGCTCGCGATCGCGCGCTGCCAGTACGCCTGGTCCTGGAACACGGTCGCGAAATTGCCGATGACGTTGATGACGCCGAAGATGAGGCCGTTGCGGCTGCGCATGGTGAGGTAGGAGCCCTGGGCGTTCCCGTCGACCGGGGTCCGTTCGGCGGCGGCGGCGAGGAGCGCGTGCATGCGCGCGAAGGAGCCGATTTTGGGGGAGGTGGCGTAGACGGTGAAGACGAAGACGAGGATGATGGCGAAGAGGACGGTGGTGTGGGTGTAGTCGCAGAGGAGGGTGGAGCGCATGCCGCCGACGACGACGTAGATGGCGACACCGAGGGGGGTGAGGAAGCAGGCCTGGGGATGCGTGGTTCATGACGTGGTTTGCGGATGAAGGTAGGAAAAAATCATGACTCACGGCGAGGGTGTTCATCCCAGTGAGGTCAGTCACGGTGGCTGAGCCGCCCACAGCGAGCATGGACGAGACAATGATGTTCGTCGCGAGGCTACGAAGGACCGGTAAGTCGACCGTGCGATAAGAGCGAGCGTCCCATAGCGTACCCGAAGCACATGAAGACGCCGTGGGCGATATTACCCCATCGTGCGCCGACGATTTCGAGCCAGGTGTGGGCGTACGGCGCATGCAGCTTCAGCTTTGCAGCGAGCTAAGACGCGACGGTCAGAATGCCTTTCGCGGGCACGACCAAACGTAGATAGCGTTCTGCCTACCTGAGCGAACAGCAGGACTTGCACCGTCGCGCCGGCTCCGTACCACCACGGACCCGAGATGCCGTACTTGTACGCCACCGCGCTCGATTGCAACTGTCAAAACGCAACCTATCAGCGATCAGAGTTTGGGCTCCTGCGCGGAAGGGGCGCCTTTACCAAGGTCGCGCTCCACGTCCACGCGGACACGATGCCGGACGCGATCAGCCCAGGCTTGACGCTTCTCGACGCGCTGCTAAACTCTTCCGAGTTCTTCGGAGAAAAGCCAGTATAGCGCGCCTGGATGGCGGTCAACATCACCATGAACGCGCTGAAGAACAGCCCGATCCCTATCGCCCATCTATGAGCTTCCTCGCCGCGTAGTAAGGCTCAGATAAGGAAGCCTACCGACGACTGCTCAAAGCGTCAACACAAACGGGGACTTATGCACCGAGACACGTGTACTCACCGACACCATAGCCCGCGCCTTGGGGCAATATCGGTTGACTCGAAGACATATCTCAACCCCGGGGGCGCGATAGGATATGAGAGTCGAAAGACAAGCGACTTCTGGGACGAGCGAGCGAATTGAGAAGCTCCGCATGTTCTCTGCAGCGGGGCCTTCCCTCTTAAGTGCCACGGATTCCACGAGCTTGACGGAGACCGTCGGAACTGATAAGGGACGGCGCTGGCTGCTACGATGCTTCTTTCCACGGATTGCCCCCCGAGCTTCTGCCCAAAAACGAATACCCGAAAGAGCCGATAAGCCTCTCACAGTCAGCGAGGTGGACGCGGCGGGGGGGATAAAGATATGTTGATTTTTCAACCAACGCTGAGCCCACATACGCGTGAATTGCTCGGACGACGGAGATCCATTGCGGAGGAAACCACAGAATCGACGAAAGGAGAAAGAGCGGAACGGCCACGTGATTAGGTGGAGAATCTGCGCGCTCTGTTTGGTTGCTTTCGTCCACGTCGTCAGACCGTCGTCCCAGGCCTGTTAAAACTTGATAGGGCTCGATGCTTGGCTTCTCATGACCTTCGCATCGTGAAAGCGTCTCTAGACGAGGGCCTGAACCGAAACGTTACCGAAGCGCCTCGGCGGATGCATTCAGGACGCACCGTGGGCTGAACGTTCTTCACGCCGATAATCGTACCCCGCACGCGCTGGACGCCGCGCTTTTGCACTGGTAATATGACAGAAATCCAACAGGGATTAGCCGCCACCGTAGCTTGATGTTGCCTAACAGTACAGACGGTCTGTCGTATCGGCTCGTTCGACCGAAGCTCAGCAATTCGAATCCACTCCAATCGACCTCTTTGTGCTTAGTCAACTTCTCCGACGGAACCGGACTTTGCAATGGCGTCAATATTCCCTCATGCGTACCCAGCAGCACTGATCCCGGCACCTATTTCCTCGTGTGGGCCCGTGTCGTACGCACATGAGGAAGACCATCATCCTTGGGCTGAAATCAGCGCGTGCGCTTCGAGGCGCGTAGCGTGATCTCGTCGATCGCACTCGCGGGTTTGTCCCTCGACAGGCGTTGTTCACCACGCCCTTATCTCCTATTGACGAGAGGCCCTGAGCGATACCTGCGGTATAAGATCATCTTATCCAACGGAGACGACTGGATTGCCCTCGATCGAAAACTCGTTTACCCCGAACGATGTTCAGGATGTTGTTGAAATATCCCGGTCGTCGTCGTGATTCTACAACGCACACCTGCGAGCGCTGTCTATATGTAACTCATGCGCAGCTTGCTCGACGGATGCGACGCGGAAATTTTACAAATAGTGATAATGGAAGTACTTGTCATTCGAGGCAAAAGCTCCACGTCGTTTTTCGACCCTCTCCATGGACGACCCATCGCTCACTGATCCGTCATATCAAGTGTCTAACGGAACAAGTGGGTTACGTTGTCGACATGCAGCGACCATCAACGATCGCGGTGGGGAGATCATCATAGCTCGAGGGTACGGAGATCGATTTCGACCGCATTCGCTCCTTCTAATCACCGACATGCCCTCAAGCATTCTCCCAGTCGTTGCTTCTTCTCGAGATCTCACGCTCGGGCCTTCGTGCTTCAATTACCGCCCGCATGGGATTTTGCTCGTACACGACCCACTGCGGTCCGGCGACCTCGGTACACCAGCGTCACTCCTGCGCCAGCGCTCGTCGTTCAGGACGCGTACGTGACTGAATTTCAAGCGTCCGTATTTACAGGACCCTGTCCGACGACAGGTACAATATTCCTTCATGGATGGGCATCCATATACCCGAGCTGCATGCGGTACCGCAAAATCGAAAGCACATCCTCGACGTTCCGCCAACGCAAATATCGGGACCGCGCCTTCGCGTATCATAGTCCCAGATCTTCTTCCCTCCCCACTCCACCTAGCAACCCTAGCAACAAGCTCTGGCCGGCTCTTCCTCTGATACCCATCCAGCGGGGCCAGGCTATATTTACCGTCCCTCGGCATTCGCCGACCCCGCGCCGGTCCCGGAAATTGCTAAATGCGGACACAAAGGATCTGAAAAGGGGTTCGCTTGGTCCTATTCCTGGGGACGCCATTTCTGGGGTGCGTCGGAGGCGCCATCAGCTATTCGTTCTCTGGAGCGCACCGCGCGCCGACCGCAGCTCCTTGCTCGACGTGAATGCTCGCTCACCTTGGCCGGTCGCTCTCACTACTCTCTTCACTTGCCACCTTTTTTTTGAGCTCTCTGGACCCTGACGTTTTTCCGCGCGCGCTCGATGCGCCTCTTCACTTTCGCCAACGCGCTTGCAGCGACTCTCGTTCTCGTCTCTCCTCCCCTCGCGACGGCAGCGCCCGCACCGATCCAGAATGACGCACGGGAGCACAACGTCGTGGATGTGCTCCACGAGCTCATCGTCCGCATCGAGCCAGTCCTTACAGAACTCGGTAAATATCCCACCCCTCACCCCCCCC